TGTGTGTGTGTGTGTGTGTGTGTGTGTGTGTGTGTGTTGTGTGTGTGTGTGTGTGTGTGTGTGTGTGTGTGGTTAAAGCACCCAAAATTCTCTCTCTCATTTCCTCCACAAATCATAACAAATCATCCATCTATAACAAAAAAGTATTGATAGCTAATATAATAGAAAATGCAAGGTTGGCCACGTGTGTGGTTCAGCGCCAAGTGCCTACACACCCATCTGCCGCCAAAGCGGCACACTTGCACATATACATATACAATATTATACATATACATATATTTATTATTTATTTAATCCATAAAAGGGTGGAGGGCAAGAAGCAACTTACCTAAGACAGAGGACTTCACCAGCAAGAAAGCACCGACCCCATCCTCGATAGGTCCGAAAAAACTCGGAGAGCCCTCCTCATCGGCCCACAAAACCACAAAACCCCATAACACAGAAGGCTCCACTAACACAAAAGCAGCGACCACACATGCCAATGGTCTAAAAAAAAAATCAGAGCCTTCTGTGATGGATTACAACACTACCAGGAATCAAAAATACACCGCAGGACCTGTTCGCAACACCAAAAGTGTCATGAACCTCCCCCAGCCATGCAATCTGCAGAATCAGACGATGTCCTACTGCTACCGCGAGGCCACTGCGAGTACTATGCCAACCTCCACAAGATCTTCGTGCCACACCAGGAGCGGTATTGCTTAAAACACCCTAGAGGCTACCCCATTCTTCCATGTGCTCCGAAAGAGCAGCCTGTGGGAATGACACCCACAGTAAACACTCTCTAAGCATCCTTGCAGAGATATTGTGGCCAAGACCCCAAACTCCCATCCCAGAAAAAAGTGCAAAAAACTCGTGGCCACCCACAAACATCAACAAGACAGCCCATGCTGCAAAGCAGGGCAAAGAATTAGGCCATGTATAAAAAAAACAAACCAACAAAACACATCCATCCACAGAGAAAGAGTAGCTCGCTAGCACAAGCCCAATCCTGACCGCTCAAATCTGCCAAGACAGAGTGCTAGCAAGACCGGAATCTGTGTGTGTGTGTGTGTGTGTGTGTGTGTGTGTGTATGTGTTTTTATGTGGTGTGTGCTGAAGCACTTTCACGTAATAGCACGTTTTATCGTACTATATGGCTCCGACGATATATGTCGGCAGATCCTGAGTGGAGATCCAACACAGGAGTAGCATGATTTTGCAACTTGACTCTCTACGTTTCCAGTGATCACTCTGGATGTTGTCCGTAAGCTTAAACACCGGAGGCAGCGATTGATTTCCATTTAACCTTGTTATAGCAAACGAAGGAAAAAGCTCTACCTTTTTGTTGGCGGGAAGCGGATCCGGGGATTACCCTCTTTTAGTTGCATAGTATCTAGGGGGTGAAGAAAGTTTGCATACACGAAAGGAAATAATCGAAGGTTGAGGAGAATAAGAGACAGCTTCTGCTTCAAAAAATTACTGACCGATGCGCATTACTTTGCAGATTGCTTGGTAATTTGGCAGATTCCCCAGTGTTTCCTTAGATGTTATTATCCCTAGATGCTGGTTATTCAATTAGAATATATTGACGAGGCATCGTAAGTATGCACAATCTTTTCCTTCTCTTTATTCTACTAGAATGCCTCTATCTGTGTGTCCCGTATTATGTGTGATGGTAGTGGTCCGTTTTTTCGATGGTAAATTAGGCGTGAAAAAATCTCTCCGTGTGCTCGCGTGCTTTGACAGAGATTTTAGCGCGTAGTTATGGGTTTGAATTTCCAAGGATTGGTTTCCCCAAAATGGGTTTCGAGATCTTTCCAGGTATATGGTTGCGTATCCAGTTCGGTCGGATAGCACCTTGCTTATTAATGGGAATGAAGATCTCTGCGACGTGTTTCGTCCGTAATTCCGTCCCCGTGTCGTGCCGATCCTTCCTATGTTGGCATATCCAAACAATAACAGAGCCTTTCGACTTTTTGGACTTGCTTTTGCAGGAGACGAGGAAGACCAAGGGAAGAATGGAACGTCGAAAATTAATGCATCCAAACTTTACTCGCTAGATTTTTGTGGCGGTTTTCTCGTAGATTATATCCTAGGTCGGGTAGATGTCGCTTTTGGTAATTTGACTATTGTAAACAAGCACGATCCATAAAGTCCAACATGTCCACTCATGCCAACCATTTTTGTTTCATAAATTCCTTGGTCGCTCATTGCTAGAAGGTGTAAATGCGGGTAACTAGCTTTCCTGCAATTATCGCATCATGAATGAGTGATACAAACACTCGTGTTACCTACTTTTAATAGAACCTTTCGCTTGAAATATGACTTGCTCATTATACGGCAAGATACAGGGAAGATCGTGCAGAGAAGAGACGATCCGAAAAATATTGCTAATCAAAGCATACGAGTTTCCCAACTAGTTTCCTCGTTGCCAGGGTGGTCTCATATAAGTCACATGTTGCCAGGGTTTAGGTGATTGACTGCAATCTTTCCCTGGTCACTGTTCCAGTTCCGGTTTGTCAATTCCCTTTGTTGCTCATTGTCGAAAACCGCAAGCAGGTGTGACTAACAACTTTTTACGTACATCGATACCAGGATGACAAGGAGCAAAGCATCATAAATAAGCGACACAATTACTCGGGGGCTCGAGCTTTTCGTTTGAAATACAACTCATTTCAACTATTTTGCAAAAGACTTGAGGAGATCGCATAGATGGGGGAAATAACAGACCATAGAAAGATATCTCACACAAACTTTCCTGATAGTTTTCTCATTGCCAAGGTGTTCTCATGTAGATCGCAACCGGGTGGATTCAGGTAATTGACTGCAACCCGTCCTTGGTCACCGTAAATACGAACGACTTAGATAGTCGATCACAATTATTTACGTTTACCAGTTTTGGTTCGTTGATTCCCCTTGATGTTTTCTATCGATAAGTGTAACTGACAACTTAATTACGCACATCGATTCCAAGATGCCGAGAAGGATGCATCAAAAAATAATAAGGGAGACAATTGTATGGGGCATCAAGCTTTTCCGTTCGAAATACGACTTGCTCAACTTATTTTGCAAAGGACGAAGAAGATCGCGTGGAACAGACCGTAGAAAGATATCCCACATGAATTGTCCTGCCAAATTTTTTCGTTGCCAAGGTGGTTTCACATAGATGGCATCCGGGTAGATGCAGCGGGGGTTTGGGTAATTGACTGAGATCCGTCCTTGGCCGTCGTAAATATGGACGACTCGTAAAGTCGATCGCAATTATTTACATTTACCAACTTTGGTTAGTCAATTCCCTTTGTCGCTTACTGACAGCTTTCTCATGTACATTGATTTCGGGACGAGAAGAGAGAAAGATGCATCAAAAAATATGTGGGGCATCAACCTTTCAGGGAAGTTCTTCCTCAACTATGACTCTTTCAACCTTTTCTCAATTGACGAAGAGGATTGTGGGAAGGAAGTGACCGTAGAAAGACATCCTTTATCAAAGCATACGAACTTCCCTACTAGATTTTCCCTTTGTCACGGTGGCTCGACACGGATTGCATTCGGGGAGATGCTGCAAGGGTTTGGCCATTGACTGAGATCATCGTAATTATGAATGACACGACCGCACATATTTACGCTAACTAAATCCGGCTCGTTGATTCCCTAATTGCCTAGAAATCGTAAATACGTGCAACCAGCAACCCTTTTGCGTTCTTGATTCGCAGATAACAAGAAGGGGAGCGAGCTAAGTGTTTGGGGCATCATCCATTACACACACAGAATAATTCAGATGAACAGCACTCTCAAAGGTATTATTTACCGTATACATAGAATCCTTTCTGAAAAATTTACATGAATAGCTCACTGAAATTTACAAAAGAAGTCACTTCCAACCATCACTGCTTCCGTCCAAATAGGGGAGCAAGGCTTAGAGAGCAGAGAAAAGTAGAGAGAGAGAGAGAGGGAAGAAGATATTCTCGTATCAAGCCATACACCTCCAACCACCCTTTTTTGGCACKATCCGTACCATGAGCACAACTGGCCGATCCGCGGGAAGGGAGTGACCCATCCCTGAAGCGCTTTTCTGCTCCGGCCACATGGAGCTTCATCTGGTCTTTGGAAGGAAAAGACAGGTGGAGGGGAGAAGAGGTCGGGGAGGAGGGGAGAGGGGCGAGGTGGGTGGGTGGGATTGCCAGGACGAAGAGCAGGAAGGCTAGGTATGCTAGAAGAGCTAAGAAGGCGATGAGATTGCATGCTTCCCATTCCGAATCCCTGCGTCCTTCTTCCTCCTTCATTGCCTTAGCGCGATTTCTTCTATGCCAGCCGCAATACAGCAAAGCGCAAGAGCAAGCGTTAATGCGGAGAAGAGCATGGCAAAGGTGGAGACGGCACATGATACTTTCGACGCTTTGAGCCAGATCCACTCCTCCTTACTGAGCCAAATGGTGGCTGCTGCGAGTATAGCATTTGGAATG